AAATTTGTTTGATCAGGGTTATAGCACTCAAGCCCTTCCTAAAGTTTAATGTTTAATATTAATAGTTAATGTCAGACATGTTGAGGATATTACCGAATTTGATCAAGTAAGTGACCAAATTAATGTCCAATGCATTTCCCTATTTAGACCAGTACCACGAGTGTGCTTGATTATTCAGATGAAGACTTGCCTTGCCTTGCTTTTGTGAAGGAAGGTTACACTCGCATATCTATGAACACCCGTTATCACCTATTTGATAGTGATTCATATTAAAGTGATATAGTGATACAGTAAGCGTTCGCCGAAGACCCCGGTTTGATTCCCACTTGCCCATTCCTGGTGTCCCCCGCCGTGAAATTACAGGAATAGTGATAAAGGCGGCGTAAAATTATACTCACTTATAATAGAGTAGGAATGGCTGAACGAACTCGGCTTGTCTATATTTCACTATGGAAATAGTTCGGGAGTTCAGTGAAGATATCATTGACTGCGTCTGTGAGGATATGACTTTGCTTCCAGAAAAGGGTAATGTGATTTCTCTTTTTTGATTCTTCAGGGTTTGTTTGTAGTTTAATCATCTTACCTTTGAATAAGACACTGCCTGTGTGTTCGTGGGGAGACTAGTGGTTAAAGCGTTCGTCGTCACGCCGAAGACCCGGGTTCGATTCCCCACATGGGTACAATGTGTGAAGCCCATTTCTGGTGTCCCCCGCCCTGATATTGCTGAAATAATGCTAAAAGCAGCGTAAAACTAAACTCACTCTCGCACCCGTGGGACTATTTTATCAGTGTTTCCTATCCGTAAATTGCATTTTCTAACCTTCTGACAGATGTACAAAAACGTTGATTACAATCGCTTCGTTTTTAGACCGATTCGAAATTGACGACGGTACACGAATGTCGCCAATGAAATTAGCTTTGGTTGATTGGCATTTTCGAGAGAGATTGTACGGAATGAGTCCACTTTATTTATCATATAGGAGTGGAGATATAATGAGAATATATAACGAGCTATACGGTTTATCTTTCCCTTGTCAAAAATACAAAATGGTGAAACGACCGGGTTACCTACCACATTAATTCTCACGGGAAAGATTAACTTTATTCCGAGTCTGGTTGTTTTATCTTTCCCATTACCATATCTACTGAAATCGTGTCAGGTAATCAAATCACTAACCAACTTCGAAACTTTAAATTAAGTTAACAATTTTATAAGTTAACATTGGCGAGTGCAGACCGTCAGTTGAAGTGTGTCACGTGTGATGACGCCATCTCAGCAGCTCAGTCGACAATCTTAAAGTTTTCAAGTTGAACATGTTGGTGCCAAACATTAACAGGAGCGAGTGAGTTTAGTTTTACGCCGCACCCAGCAATACCCACGCTATATGGCGGCGGTCTGTAAACAATCGATTCTGGACCAGACAATCCAGTGATCAACAGTACGAGCATAGATCTGCGCAATTGGGAACCGATGACATGTGTCAACCAAGTAAGCGAGTCTGACCACCCGATCCCGTTAGTCGCCTCTTACGACAAGCATGGGTTACTGAAGACCAATATTCTAACCGGGATCTTCACTGGTACATTAATAGGATGGCTATGGAGTGTTTATCACACTGTAGAAATACATTCGGAACTGTATTCACTTGAAGTAAATACTTCCAGAATGTCTACGCTGCACTCAGCAGTATTCCAGCTATATGGTGGCGGGCTGTAAATAATCGAGTATGGACCAGACAACCCAGTGATCAACAGCATGAGCACAGATAAGGGTATGATGAATTAGTTGCAATAAATTCAAATCTGCTCACACCAATCACAAGGACACTCAAACAAGCCAGCTGTTTTCAATATACTGTTTATTCTCAACTGAATTGTTTGGAAGGGTTCATCAGTCTAACAACAGACAGACAGGGTAAATAGGTCTCTAAAATGGGCGGAATGTAGGAAGAAGGATCACTAAACACAATCATAAAGTGCTTCTAAAATTATTCAGTCTATGCTAATATTAACACATTTACATACAGATTATATACTTTAGGTTGCAAGCTCAACCCCGCTCATATGAATGCATGTAGCCACACAATCCCTGTATTGCAAATTAGGGAGGCTTTCAAATACAATATATACTCTCTTCAATGACCAGATTTATCACTGAAAACAATTCATCATAAATCAATAACCAAATTCAGTGTTAACATTAAGAAGTCTCAAGGGACATCTGAGTGGGGCCATGGGACAGTGGTTAAAGCGTTTGCTTATATGCTGGAGTCAGTGAGTGAGTTGGGTTTTACACCGCTTTAAGCAATATAACAGCAATATCATGGCGGGTTCGATCACCAACATAGGTGTGTGCAGCCCATTTCTGGCGTCCACTGCCTCTATTGCTGGAATATTGTTGAACCCAGGTGTGGTATCGTGACAAACATTCCCAAAAGCACACGACATGACTTTGAGAGCAGCGGCTTTAGTGCAGTCGGCTGGAGCATACATACTTGGGCGGGAAGCACATGGCCCGATAACGTAATAGTCCCATCATGCATTGGGTAACTCAGGGAGCAGTTGTTTACATCCGGTAGTTAAGGGAGCATTACGTGTCAATTCAGTCACGTTAACAGTTACACTACTACACCAGGTCACCTCAGACCACAGTACTTGACAGTGGACATCAGTGTATATTGAAGAAAAGACAGCATAAAATAGTTCTCACTGGTGGTATTAAGGCATGGAAATGGTCATACAAAAACAACCCTTTCTTACAGGAACTGGGATTGGGTACACACAGTATTTGCATGGCATCACCTTTATGATATACACAAACAGATTCTTACATTCTTTCTATGAGTGAGTGAGTTTAGTTTTACGCCGCTTTTAGTCATATTTCAGCAATATCACACCAGAAATGGGCTTGACACATTGTACCCATGTGGGGAATCTTCAGCATGACACTTTAACCACAAGGCTTCCCCACCAACCCTTCTTTCTATAAAGAATCTCTTCTTAGCGAATAAAATGTCAAAAAGCCCCTATTCTTTAATGCCCTAAATCACTTCATTTTTATGATAATATTAGTTTGGTTTAAATCAAGTCAAACACTGATATAATACACTTCATATCTGATATATATATCTGTAATATGCAATAATATGGAAGTGTTCTGTGGAAGATCAGAGATAACACAGAAAGAGACTACTTGCTCTTGTGATATGTGTATATACGGGCAACCATATTGCCCATAAGGTTCCATCTTATTTTAAGCAGTTGCAGGATTTCCTACAGAAGATAATGGACCAGTAATCTTGTAATACCTTTAAAGTAGCAGCTACATGAAACAGTCTGTAAATAGTCAAGTCTGGACCAGACAAGATGACGACTGACATTATCAGCACTGATGTACACAATTGGGATAGCAAGACATGCATCAACCAGGTCAGCGAGACTGACCACCTGATCACCTTACAACAAGCATTGCATCGTAACCATTAATATCACAAATAACACTATTTAAAGATGCTTGTTGCTATAGTTACCACATGGTACAGTGTACAATTCTGAGTGCATTAGGGACTGTTCATAATTTATGGCTTGGGGGGTGGGTAGATGGGTTGGGTTGATGAAGATTTGTATGGAGAAGCATGTACAATGTCATTGATCCCCCACTAAAATTTATGTACAAAGTAAGTGACCCCATGCATGTCATGTACAAGATCAATGACCCCCCCCTCGATATTTTTAAGCGTAATTTTTAAATATTTTCTTGTACAAAATTGATGCCCACCCCCTAATACATGTGTACAAAATTGATGACCCCCTACCTACCCAGACAAAATGGGTGAACCCCCCTACCTACCCAAAACAAAATTGATGACTCCCCTACCTACCCAGAACAAAATGGGTGACCCCCCTACCTATCCAAAACAAAATGGGTGACCCCCCTACCTACCCAAAACAAAATTGATGACTCCCCTACCTACCCAGAACAAAAAAATGGGTGACCCCCCTACCTACCCAAAACAAAATTGATGACTCCCCTACCTACCCAGAACAAAATTGATGACCTCCCTACCTACCCAGAACAAAATGGGTGACCCCTCCTTAAAATCATCATCACCCCACCTAGCCATATGCCTTATCGCATATCTTGAGTTTATATTGAGTTATATTTCGAGTACAGCTCTTTATTACAGCGAATATGGCAGTTTAAAAGGATATACATATCATTGTTATGTCACATACTGTGTAGTATCCTATTGCTGTAGAAAAACCTTCAACTGCTAAAATCATATACATGTGTACATTTGACAACACTGACTTATTACCACAAACAGATCACAAGTTGTCGTTTTGCAATCGAATATATCACTGTCATACAAGATTAACATTTCTATGATGGAACAAAAATGAAACAAGATCATATACAGAACAACCAGAAATTATTTAGAATTTAAAGATTGTAATTTGAGTGTTGTATTGGGTTGTGTATGGAAATAGTCAACCGCAAAATAGCAAATAGAACCCGTTCCAGACGAGCGAGAGTAGACAGACATGCTTACCAGCAGTTTATCACTTTACATACCCTCAGCCCCTTAATGGTAAAATGGACTGCACCGCTATTCAGATTCACGGGTTGAAATGACAGGTCGGCAATATTCATAAGTTCGTCTCACAGTAAGAGGATGGGAAAACTGAGATGGGAAAACTGTTTACTATTTCCGTTGGAATGAAACTTCAGGGCAGGTGGGAGATAAGAACTACAGATGAATGTGGACAGCCAATTTAAAGTATTTTACAAATGTTCTCAGACAAAACTGTTTTTTTCTGCTTACTTTCTTACTGACCCTAGCCTGCAAGTCAGTAAAGCATAAACTGATACATCGCTTGAAAGGTTGGTTGGTTTGTTGTTTAATGATGCACTCAGCAATATTCCAGCTACATGGCGGCGGCGGTCTGTAAATAATCGTGTCTGCACCAGACAATCCTGTGATCAACAGTATGAGCATCGATCTACTCAACTGGGATGCGATGACATGTGTCAACCAAGTCAGCGAGTCTGACCACCTGATCCCGTTAGTCGCCTTTCACAATAACCATGGGCTACTGAAGACCAATGCTAACCCGGCCCTTCACAGGTGTTGCTTGAATGGAATGACCCAGGTAAGCTACATCACTCGTCCCAGCACGGTACCTAGCGTCGTCAACACAACACACATTATGAGTTCTTCCTTATAACACAGCTGAAAGAATGGAATATTATTTTTCTTTGCCCATCGAAGGAACACAACAACGGGAATAACAACATGTAAAAAGTCCGGAATCATCAGGCCGATATTACGAATATTCTGGAATGCTGTTCCATGTCCCTCAATGACATGAGAAATAAACTGATCAAGTCCGCTAACAAGAATATGAATGGTATTGATGGTAACAATGGCGGAGATCTTCCACGACGCAACATCATTCTCTTCATTGCAAAGGCTGAGGACGATGACGGTGGCGATGATCTCCGTGATGGCGAAGAACATGTGGTGTTTGAAGTAGGTGTAGAATTCCTCGTTGTAGTAGCTGAAGAAGGACCACCAGGAGTAGTAGTGGGGATAGAGGTTGATGATGTACAGCAGAAACATACTCCATCGGACAGATCCCGCCGGAACAACGCTACCAGGTACTTGACACTCTCGTAGAATAGCAGAACGAACAAGACTGTAGCAATCCAAATCTTGAAGGTTTCTTTCGTTGCATTGAAGTAGATGTGTTTGTATGACACACCCGGGCCAGGCATCTCGTAACGACCTGCGAAGATTTGAGTAAGTTGGATTTAAACCAAATTTAAAGCCACTTTGAAGGCTTTCCCAGATACATCATGTTGCAAATATTTATTCAGTAACATATTAGATGTCTACCAAGAATTATTTGCTACAGTACCAAAAAAACAAACACAAAAAAAAATTCTGTTGGCTTGAGTTACCAACACTACGTTACAGCTCTTAAAACAATTCTTGTATTATTCATACTTAACAGATTGGTTATTACCTTCACAGAATTAGTGTTGGGAATTGGTTAAAATCTCACAATTGATGATTGGTTCATTACAAACGATCAATCATCAAAAAGCATTGGTTAGCGTGATTTATCAAACTCTCCTAGTTATGTTTGTTAATGCACAAAAAAATATAGAACAAACATGTAGTTCTTTCAGGGTTTGCATAAAAATTGCAAATTGCACAAAATGCATTTACAAATTTCACATCTTTAAAGGATGACTAGCATGTTAAGAACATAAATTTCCTGGAGCCTTTGAGATAAATTCAATGATGACAAGGAACAAGCTTGTAGTACTTATGAAATGTAACAGACAAAACCAACCTTGTGAAAAATGTTGTTAATGCAAACAAGTGTGCCAAAATTGTTCGATTATGAGAAAACATGATTGACGGCTTGGTCACTTCGTCATTGCGACCAATCTTCGATAATTTCAATTAATTGGACCACCGCTACACAGAATATGTATTATTTTTTTCATTGAAATTTACTGAAGACCGTTTAGTTTAAATAAAGCTGCAATCAAGTATAATCAATTTAATTATCAATGCATATACCTTTGGAGCAAGAAACATGCAACTTATGAAATATGAATGCTGTCGACATTTTATTCTACTTGCACAAATTAGTCTCTCTCAAGTGCAGTTTATTTTTAAATGTAATGATATTCTTTGCAAAAGCTAAACACATTGTTATTATCACAATTATGAATTTTTACAACTTTGGGTGAAAATATTGAAATGTTGTGAATGTATCCATTCTGCTATAGCAGCTCCTACCTCTGAACACTGTGTCGAAGCAGGTACACCCGCACCCATACTTGTCAATGGGAGGTTTGTCTGGCACCCAGATCAGCCGGTAGAACACACCTGGAACAACACAACAATGTTGTTTGGGTTTAATGTTTAATGCCACACTCTGCCATGTTCCAGCTATCTGTTGACAATCTGGAAATAATTAAGTCTGGACCAGACAATCTAGTGACCGGCATGAACATCGATCCACTGTTTGCACAGTCATCTACCAAGTCACCAAGTCTAAACACCTAATACCAGAGCTACAGGTAACTTTTGGGGTCATTGAGTTATGTACTCGCTCGTGTTTCTCAACAGGGTATCCTAATTTTTCTTTTGAGTAACCAAATAAATTGTACCCATCTCACTCAAAGTCAATTGGTTTTCTTGCCATTTTCCATTAATTGTAAAAATATAATAAAGTTTAAATGTTGGTTCAAGAGCTTGTTGTTAATATTTGATCTGTTATATGAGAAACCATAAGAAAGACTGCATGTTGCCAAGTTCAGGTGCTGAAATAGAACCTCTCAACAAACCTCAGTTATTTTATCTACTTTTATTTGTATGCGTGTAATATCAAATTTATTGAGTATTTACAAAACTTCAAGGTGATATTCCTACAAAGTCGCAACTCATGGGTGTGTTATCTATTCAGTCCAGGGTTATCAAAGATGCAACAGAGGATTCTACATTTAATTAGGAGATAAACATCATGTGTTGGCCAATTTCTGGGTGTTATTGAGTATTTAAAGCAAGGGAATTCATTTGGAACCGACGGCGTTAGCCAGAGGTTTCAAATGAAATATTCCCTTGCTTTAAATACTCAATAACACCCGGAAATTGGTCAACACATGATGTTTATCGACATTGTAAACACAAAAGTAAACCAAAAGGTCTGCACTCATTGACATCGAGTTCGGGTACAGCAGTGAAATGTCATCAGCCGGACGTTTCAGCTGTCTCCCGTTGTTAGCATCTGCAACTGCTCATTTGTGATATGATTTGATTGACGTCATCACAGCTGACAACGTAACAATACAATGGTGTGAACGATGTTTCTACATATTAATACTCAGAGAATTTCCGGGAATCAAATACCATTCGATCATGTTTTTCCACCAATCAGATTTAATGAACACAGTGACTTTTACTTTACAATATAGGATCATCATATATCTGCTACAGGGTTCTGCACGTAGTTCCAACTTATCATATACAGGTCTCGATTAAAGTGATGTTAACTTACTTGCACCAGGTGCAACCTAAGATAACAACCTAGTTGCACGAGCCAAATTCCGGTGGCAACGTAGTGTGTTAAAACATCAGAGGTTTCGGTGCACATGAACAGATTTCCGTGATGTAGTACCCACGAAACCATAGCAACACAGACACACAGATGATCCCTGTTTACAAGAGCTGTCATAGCCGAAACATGTATAAGTCATAACTATTCAAAGTTTAGAAGAAAAATGAGCTGACATATTTATGCTCATAATGTTAGATTTATTGTTGATTTATTTCTCAAAACTTGACTTGCACCATGTGCAAGGTAGACTCATAATTCTGTTGCACCTCGTAATATTGGGTTGCACCACTGGAGCCCTGATATATGTTACGTAAGGTTATGTAATATGTTGAATAGGGCAATGCACAGATTTCACGGCAATTAACATGAACACAGGGGTACAGATAAGCTGAGTATCTGCGTAAATTACGCAAACATTTATGTGAAAACTCAATTCCTTTCAAGTCTATTGCATACAAGTATGCTTGAATTTTTGTAAATACTCATTAAATTTGATCTAATATGTGTACACACAAAGATGTCAAATCTTAGCTTGCGTACTGTAACATTCAGCAAATCTACTAGAATTTGAATTAAGCAGACCCATGTGTCACAGATGGAGGTTACTGGCGATAGATACAATAACTGAGGTATATTATGATGTTCTATTTCAGTACATGAACTTGGCAACTTGCAGTTTTTCTTATCTTTTCTCATATAACAGATCAAATATAAATAATCTTTTTTCACAAATAATCAAAAATGGCAAAATACCCAATTGAGTTTGAGTGAGGTGGGTATAATTTATTTGGGTGCTCAAAGGAAAATTAGGATACCCAATTGAGATTGAGGACCTAGGCTTATCCACGAGATCGGCTTATCTACAGTAAAATACAAACTGTAAATCCTGAAATGAACACAATCTCTCATATGACTGATGGGCCCATTCAGTAAAGAGAACATGGTTTCATAGATGTATTTAAGTCATATCTTAATCCAACGTTACACCAATCGAATCAAACATCAAATACCAATGCTTATCATTGCTGAGTAGAGTTCTGCCACAAATACATTAAATAGGGTTTTCCTAAAGCTGACTGACTGACTGAGTTTGGTTTTACGCCGCTTTCAGCAATATTCCAGCAACATCACAGCAGGGGACACCAGAAGTGGGCTTCACACATTGTACCCATGTGAGGTTTCGAACCCGGGTCTTCGGCGTGACGAGCCAACGCTTTAACCACTAGGCTACCCCACCCCACCCATACCTATGTAGAAGAAAGGAACATACCTATGTGCAAGAAGGGCAACATAATGATGATCAACGCTCCAAAGAAAACCGCATAAAACTTGTCCTTGAAGTGAAACCCTGACTGCTGGTAATGCAAGTCGGTCAGCTGTTTCTCCATGTACGCCTTCATTCTCTCCCGCGTACTTGCGTCCTTGGACCGCAGTCCGTCTTGGTAATAACTGAAATGTCATAAAATCAAACATTTTAACTGTTCATAAATTCACCTACAGGCATTTTGCTGTATTTTACTTAGTGTTGGGAATTGGTTAAAATCTCATAATTGATGATTTGTTCATTACAACCGATCAATCATCGAAAATAATTGGTTAGCATCACTTATGAAATGTGTTAATGTACAAACATATAAGGAAAAACACAGGGTTTTTATGAGTTTTGGGGGCAAAATTTCACATCTTTAAAGGATGACTAGTATGTTAGGAACATATATTTCTTGGAGTCTTTAAGATAAATTCAATCATGACTTGGAACGAGCTTGTAGTGCTTATGAAATGTAACAGACAAAACCAACCTAGTGAAAATTACTGTTAATGAAAACAAGTGTTCTAGAATTGTTTGTGTTCGATTATGGGAAAACATTATCGATTGCTTGGTTGTTTAGTCACTGCAACCAATCTTTGATTATTTCAATTAATCGGACCACCACTAATTTTACTCCAACATTATGAAAAGATGAATTCTGATCCATGAGGCAATATTTATTAAAGTGCAAGTGATACCGTGGCAATTCTTTTTTTGTTTCCATTTACATGTTGAACCTGTATAAATATTGTACTACTGTTTTCTGATTGGCATAGAATGTACGGGACTTCTGGTCCATCACTACTCTGAATGATAAGCTTCATTTGTTTAGTTGCCTTCGGTATGTCCAGGGTCTTTGTATTGATGGATTTATTTGCACAGTTTTCTTCAAGTTTACCCCCTATTAACACAAAAAATATTCAGAATTCATAAGTGAATGTACATTAGGCCATGACTTTGCTGACAATGTTTTTGAAAGTATTTCTTTCATAGACACATGCAGTCTCATATTCAAACATTGGATGATACACAATAATATTCATTGTACAGAAGTCATGACAAGAAATATAAAGGTGATGTAGTTAAAAGAAATTTCAAGTGTCACAGTAGACTACTAGTGGTGTTTCGATTAATTGAAATAATCGAAGATTGGTCGCAGTGACCAAACGACCAAGCAATCGATCACATTTTCTCATAATCAAACATAAACCATTTTGGAACTACTGTTTTAGTCTTTGAAATACTTGACAATGGGACATATCTTAGAAGTTGTCAGGGCCTGAAAACGTGTTTAATTCTTAGAAAACCCACTTCAATAACTGAAAAGCCATGACTGAATATTTCTCTAAGACTCCGGGAAGTTTATGTTCATGATATATTAGTCATCACTTAAAAGTAGCAAGTTGTATCATGTTATACATATTTGCAATAACAACCTGGATAGAAAAATCTGAAAAATGACGCCAACCAATTTTTTTCGATGATTGTTCGTTGGTAATGAAGCAATCATCAATTGTGAGATTTCCACCAATTCCCAACACTACAGACTACACTACACAGCTTCACAGCATCATCATATTTGGTTGAAGGATCCTTGAAATTTGTTATAGGCGCCCAAAGGACCCTAGTTTAGTACATCAAGGTGAAACCCTCCTGTCAGGAATATGCATAATCTCTCAAAGTTTCAGGTACACTGAGAGTGAGTGAGTGAGTGAGTTCAGTTTTACGCTGCACTCAGCAATATTCCAGCTATATGGCGGCGGTCTGTAAATAATCAATTCTGGACCAGACAATCCAGTGGTCAACAGCATGAGCATCGATCTACGCATTTGGGATACGATGACCTGTGTCAATTAAGTCAGCGAGCCTGAACACCCGATCCCGTTAGTCGCCTCTTGCAACAAGCATGGGTTACTGAAGATCAATTCTAACCCAGATCTTCATGGGTCAGATACACTGAGAACAAACATGACCCTAAAATATTTCAGGCATTATAGGTACAACCTGATTGAAACAAAACAAGTATATTTTATGGATAAATGAAGAATGTTAAAAAGCCCGTTATCATTATTATCTGATTATTATCTGAAATGATTTCAATGATTTTAGTTTTACAGTTATGTTTAATAGTATCAGTATTCTAATACTACCATGTCTTGCTACTACTGGACAAAACATGAAGACTTCCTTCTGCTGTTTCTTTCTTTCTCTATTTTCAGCTCTCCACTTTCTTATTATAGACTTTTAAATGCAAATGGAAAGATAATGAAATTTATATACATAACATATGGTCTCTGTGGAAGTTTGTAACAAGAAAGTTTAGAAGTCAAAATAGAGACGTTACAGAACATAATGAGGCATACAATCTTATGGATAACAAATTCTTATTTATTGCCTAGAGTGTAAAAATCTACACCGAAAAGTTGCTTAAAGCAACAAACAATAAGATCAATATGAACAAACTTATGGATAACAACTTCTGTATCTGTATCGAGATGTCACACTCACCAAATAAAAGAAGTTGTTAGCCATAAAGTTTGTCCATATTATACTTCCCAACTTCTAAAATGCCACCCAAAGAAGAAACAATAAGTTGTTATCCATAAAGTTGTATGCGTCATTATTGACTCGCCAACACCTAGAATGCAGGTCAAACAATTACGAAAATGTTGGTTGACTAAGAAGACAGCATCATGCAACAACAAATAACAACAACTGACAGTTTCAGTGGTGTTACAATCATGCTTATCACACAGCATGCAGGTGCTGTGAATTGTGCACTGGGGTGGTGAGGTGAAATTGGGTTTAACGTCGTGCTTGAGAATATTTCACTCATATGACGACGTGCATGCGTGTGTATGTGTATGTGAGGCTGCTTGTACTAGCACAGACTGAAGCTGGTTTTATAGTGCTAGCCCACTGAGATACCATGCCGCATCGAAGCATGAATACCCCACTCAGACACAGTATACTGACTCCGAGCCGACCAGTCCTTGTTGTACCCATTAATGCCAAGCGCCAGACAGGGACCAACAAGTACTATATTTTAACGTCTTTTGGTATGACGCGGTCGGGGATCGAACCCGCGACCTTCCCCTCTCTGGGCGGACACTCTAACCACTACACCACGGAGGTGGTAAATAGTGCACTGGGTGTTATCAGGGCTCGATTTAGTGTTTTGTTACTTGCACTGGTGCAACCCAATATTACAAAGTGCAAACTAGTTATGAGTCTTACTTGCACAAGGGGCAAATCAACTTTTGAGAAAGAAACCAACAATAAATCTAACATTATAATCATATATATATGTCAGCCTATTTGTCTTCTAAACTTTGAATAGCTATGGCACTGAAATAATGCTATTCATATACACGTTTCGGCTGTAACAGCTCTTGTAAACAGGGATCAGGTGTATATGGAAATATGTTTATGTGCACCGAAACCTCTGACGTTTTAACACACTACGTTGCAACTGGAATTTGGCAAGTGCAATTAGGTTTTTATCTTAGGTTGGACCTGGTGCAAGTAGGTTAACCTCTCATAAATCGAGCCCTGGTTATATAGAGCACAACATGCAAGAGGCATTACTTAGTGCATTACATGGGCATCATGCAGTAACAAGGTCAAGGATGTGCTCATCAGGTTGTGGATAGCCATATGCATCGGCCCTGAGACCTCCACATGACTTTAGCACAAAGACTGTTGTAAGCATGGGAGTTACGGAAATCTTGCATCAAAGAACAGGACCCAGGGATGAGTGTTAATTGGTGCTTCACCAGTCAACTTGGTGAGTGAAATGTGAACTTAATATCTGCAATTATTGTATTGAAAGTGCTCCAAATGTTTCATAGCATGTTAATAGTGTTATGAATATATTGCTAATGATTGCATGAATGCATATAAAATTACCAAAATGTAGTAAGAATATGTGAATTTAGTGGTGTGAATATATGACTATGGATATATATTCTGTCATTAGTGCATATTTAATGCAATCTGGTGTCAGATATCTTGTTTTAAACCAACTTGTTACAAATGCAATGAACTGACAAAGTAATTGGATACGGATCCCCCAAATTTGAGTACGGATTATCTAGATCATCTAGACGAATCATCCAAATAACATAATAATTTTCCAAATCAGATATTGATCGAAGTTTCAGGCGGATTAGCCATTTTCAGACTCAGTGGGTACGGATCAGTCACCGATGAGACAATTTCCGTACCATCGGAAAAGAAGATCAGATTTCGATTCCCAAATCGGGCCCCCAAATCGAAAAAAGCACATTGTTTTGGGTTGTATTATACCCTGTTCTCTTATCATACACGTGGTTATTTTGCGTTCAGTCGAATTAAACATTATCTGGTCAGTAGCTCTTCCACAAGCCGACTACCTGGCGACTAGTCTGATAGTTTCATGCTTGTCAGGTGCAGGCAAAGCACAGTGTCACAACAACAACATGCGATACCGTTACCTCGAAGATAAACTGAGAGATAATTAGAACTTTGCGCCTGGAATCTCTTCCTTGGAATATAAGGCGATAATAATGAAGAGAAGGATATTTCAAGCCCACCTGTCCGCCATTCTGAAATGTACAAGGTCAAGGTAAATGTCCTACTTCCGGGTCCATTGGTGGACTAGGATTCAGTCTACTAATGCAAAAAGCGCACAACCTAACAATGCACCAATAGTGGAACCAGTTAGCATAAGGAGCTGTGCGTGAAAATAACATTTGAACATGTAGCGTGACGTTAATGACAGAAAAAGAAATGACTCAGTGTTTGAGTTGTGTGTTATCAGCTGAATTGATAAAATTTAGGAGTTTTAGGAGTCATCATTTTCCTTTATGTGTTTCCCAAACACACACATAGATAATGAATGCGACATGTTTTATATTTACAGCTATAATAGTCTGTTTGCAGTGAAAACGTACGTACCGATGTATTTCACTTTAACCAAAAAAGTAAATCAAGTAAAGTGAAATTAAGATTGCGAATCCTCTATAATTATCTTGCCAACTGAACATCTAAAACTCAGAATTTTATTCAACTTAGGATAAAAGTAAAACGATCATGTATTCAAATCGCTATTATTGGTTTGTCTTACAAGGGGGTAAGCGCAGTAATTGGAACAGTGAAACAAATGCACGTGCGGTACGTGATGAGTGTTAACTTCGACCAACCCAACTTGTTCTTGGTGTTTCATTTAATGTGCACACCCCCTTGTAGTGCAGACCAATAATAGCGATTTGAATCTATGATCGTTTGTTAAACTACTTTTATCCCACGTTGGATAACATTCTCAGATTTAAATGTTCATTTGGCAAGGTAAAATTATGAGGATTCGCAATCTTAAATTTGCTTTATTTATTGTTTAAAGCGAAATTCATTGGTGAACCGCCTCCGTGGTGTAGTGGTTAGAGCGTCCGCCCAGAGAGCGAAAGGTCGCGGGTTCGATCCCCGACCGCGTCATACCAAAAGACGTTAAAATATAGTACTTGGTCCCTGCCTGGCGCTCGGCATTAATGGGTACAGCAAAGACTGGTCGGCTCGGAGTCAGTATAATGTGTTTGAGTGGGGTATTCATGCTTCAAGGACTGGTCGGCTCGGAGTCAGTATAATGTGTCTGAGTGGGGTATTCATGCTTCACTGCGGCATGGTATCTCAGTGGGCTAGCACTATAAAACCAGCTTCAGTCTGTGCTAGTACAAGCAGCCGGACATACATATACACACACGCATGCACGTCGTCATATGAGCGAAATATTCTCAAGCACGACGATAAACCCAATTTCACCTCACCTCACCTCATTGGTACGTTTTCACCGCAAACAGACTGTAGTGTACTATTCAATTCAAAAAGTAGACCCGGTTTTGCTGAGATGCGTTTCCATCACGTTTTTGTTTCAAATCTCTCTTGTCATTATTCAAGGTAGAATATTCTCTCGGTGTGTCCATGGATTCGTTTATTCAAGCGTTGTCGGTATTTATTGATCTGTCAAATCCGTTGTATTTAAAATCAAAGACAGATATACCGGGCGGTGTACGGAAACAAACCAACAAATGTTTTTAAGAAACTCTCGAGTAAAGACATTTGCAATCAAGTTCACATTTGTCATGCAATTTCATCCGATTATATTGACAGTAGCAGGTGACCTCGCCTGTATGAACACTACCAACACACTAAAAACAATATACATATATCTCAAGTAAATAATGTTTTACATTATATCGATTCATATATTTCACATTTACCCAGAGCTATATTTCCATAATAGACGATGGGCGAGCCTGTGTTGATTGACAGCCATATATTGTGTCTCGGGCTACGCCCTCGACATATTCAGCTGTCAATCAACACCGGCTCGCCCATCCTCTATCTGGACAAACCTCTCGTTTTTAGATAGAACTACTACATAGACGCTGTGGTTTATGCTCCTTGAAATATGACGTCACTGATGATGTCACTGATAAAGGAAAGACGTCATTAGACCTTATCAGACGGTAGACGCACGACACGTTGTGTAGGTACAAGTGTGTTATTCTTGTGCCTCAAGGCGCAGCCTACTGTTTTACCGCCCGCTGGCTTTGTGTACCGCTCAGTGCCGCACTGTGATGACTTCGCGGTTTCAAAAAGTGAGTAAGTGAGTGAATATGGTTTTACGCCGCTTTTAGCAATATTCCAGCAACATCACGACGGGGGACACCAGAAATGGGCTTCACACATTGTACCCATGTGGGGAATCGAACTCGGGCCTTCGGCGTGACGAACGAACGCTTTAACCACTAGGCTACCCCACCGCTCCGGTTTCAAAAAGGTATACGTTGTACAAAACGTGTCACCACGTTCCTTCTTCTGCATACAGCGTAACCATTTTGTATAACATTATATTCAAGTCTATTGTCTTTCCCACAGGATCTTCAAATGCAAAACTTATTTGCACGGCATAGCCTTTGCTGAATATGGGTTTCATACATTAAATAGATCTCCCTACTCTTCAGCCCTCACGTCGAAACATACGCAATTTCATCACAAATATAACTGCACTTTGCATTTTTTAATTCTGTCAGGGAGGGCAAAATTACTAAAATCTGCACACATCGTAAATCTCGCCATTTTTGTCACATTACTAAATCACCATTCAAGGCGTTTTTTAGTAGTGGTATTGGCATACAACAAGCGATACGATACATCACGATACTAAAATTGTAGTCACGACGATATACATGCATTGCCAAAGTATTGTGCACTGAAGCTGCGATGCGATACGAATCCCGATTATGATATAAAGGAGGCGATATGACACGTATCACGATACTAAAATCTTTCATTCTAACACCAACTATAAAACACCTTAAGATCAAAACAAAACCAATTTTAAAGTGTTTCGTCAAATTCCACCAGCGTTGTTCACTGTTCATTCGGAAACGAGACAATTAAGTTTATACACGGACTTTGTGAATGTTAATAACATGCGAGCGCTATGTTTAACACAGTTCTTGACGCATGAATTTCCAAGAAAACGTTTACTTATGATGGGAAACTAAGTAAGCATATGTTTTAATCATCAAAGAAAAGCAAGTCTTTTTTTTCTTGACAGATATCGCGATTCGGCAATATTCAAAGTTAAACATGGATGTATCGAGTCCCATTTGAAGTATCGTATCCGGATATACGACATTGTAATACTTTGCATCGATTCACTGTATCGGAGGTCCATGGATGGATGCATCAATGCGTATCGATGAATCGTCACACCACTATTATTTAGTGCATGTTTTGAAATCTAAATATCTAATATTTACTTGGAGAATTGAATCATATCCCCAATGATCATTTCGAAATTCCAATATTAAATTATAAAAGAATAGTTTTTGGTCATCTTGACCCGAGGGCCTATCTGGTCGAACATGCAGCGGGTAAAAGCGAGTCATAATGAGATTGTAAGGTAATGTGAAATCTGGGTGTATATGTGCGTGCGTGTGTGTAAAACGGATTTTTATGGCGTCAATAAGACTTGACCGATTGGATTGCTTCGACAAATTAGCTAATACAATGAAGCACTATAATCACATATTTTCAGCGAAAATACAGAAGTTTTTATCCTTAAAGCGTGTCTAAAATGTACTTCCCAACTTCTAAAATGCCACTCAAAGAAGTTAAGGGAGAACAATGTATGAAAATACATACTGTACCAGCATAAAATCATCCTATGAGAAGCGCAATATTCCCGACGCATCAGCTTGAAACGACCATCCCGTCTGTTATGGCCAGTCGGTGTCTGTGGGCCTGGGGATGGAGTTTGTCAATATGACAAGATAACGGCAAATTTGTCCATTAGAATCTCGTGCACACTTTGTCACGTGTGTTGTTTGACGAGATGTGTTGATATTGGTGATGACATGTATTTCTATGTGCCCAGTCCTGACGAACCCTGCACAACAAACAGTCCGTGTTTGACTCTGACATATGTCTCTGTGACCATACTTCATCTCACGATGCCCATATACCATCAGGGATGCTGTAGGCTAGTGGATAAAGCGCTCAGTCGTCACGCCGAAAACCCGGGTTCGATTCCCCACATGGGTACAATGTGTTAAGCCCATTTCTGGTGTCCCCCGCCGTGATATTGCTGGAATATTAACTAAACTCACTCACTCATGTGCCATCAATGTTGTAACGTGAGATGGATGTCCATATTATTTCTGTGTTCCCCGCGCTCAGTCGTCATTCCAATGTGAAATTGTGAAAACCTTCCATCTCAGTTTTTTGTGACCTTGTGGAAATAAATACCCTGATAGATAAAGAAATAGTCTTACTCTTGCACTCTCATACACAAGCACCAAGATCAGCTAGATCTTTTCCCCATCTACATGTATTTGCATTTTTTAAAAGGTGTCTGAAGAAACGATCTACATCATAAATTAATTTAAAGAATATTACCAAGTGATCTGATAAACATTTGTAGATCATCATAAAATATGTTATTACTCTCCCGTGGAAGATACTGTTAGTTACACGGTGTTTTGAAAGGGTACTGGACTGTAAGACCCTTGTAAATACCGTTTTCCCTTTCAAAACACCGTGTGACGAATTTAATACCCTTAAGATCTCTTTCCGTAATAGGCGGAAATACGAGTACGTTTTTGTGTTTGTATTGCTGTTTTACAAACTTTTTGTTCAATTTTAATAACGGAATGTGACTTTTAGATTATCCTTCACAATATATCAAATATTTTGTTTTCGTTCGTATTCTCCTTTCAAAAAACAGCATTCAATCTTCGGCAGAATGAGACGCAAAACGTTTCGCCATGATTTATCCTGATCGGTCATAAAGGGAGATAACTCGGGATGGCTTAGTTTATGATAAAAATGATCGAATTTGAGGCTTTGTTTAACGACAAGTGAAATACAGAAACATTTTATTTTTTGGATATACATGTACTTATTGACACAAACAAATAAGAAATTATGGCAACAATTTTAGTACTTTGTTTATACTCATAATTGTATACGCCAACTCGATCAGCCGTTTGGCAGCCACATTCCATCTACGGTCAAGGTCATTCGTACAACCCGTGTAGTG